GACAGCTAGATTAGTGTATTTAGGTTATTTTCATAGCGTAATGTCTTATGGAATTTTGCTATGGGGTAATGCGACTGATATTGAAGCTATATTTGTTTTGCAAAAGAGAGCCGTACGGGCGATTTATAACCTAAATTGTAAAGAGTCCCTCAGACAAAAACTTAAAGAAATAAACATATTAACTTTGGCATCGCAATATATTTATGAGAATGTAATGTATGGGCATAAAAACATAAATAGCTTTAATAAGAATAAGGATGTGCATACTTTAAACACTAGGAACAAACATAAGCTTGTAATGCCAGTTACTAGACTCCACAGAATCAGTAATTCATTTATAGGGCAATGTATACGCTTTTACAACAAAATCCCAGAACATATTCAAAGTTTGTCAATAAACAAGTATAAAAGTTTTTTTAAAGAAAAACTGTACAAAAAGGGTTATTATAATATCAAGGAATACATGAATGAAAATAGCCCCTGGGAATAAGGTGAACGCCACCATGCTGGTTCTATGAAAAATCGAAGTTATTGTTAAGTAAAATATGTTTGAAAAAAAAAAGTCCCACTGGGTTTGTTGCTGGTTCTTCCCAGGACTGGTGTGTTTTCCGAACCAGTGGTAAATATGTAACTACACTTAGCATATGTACCTATAGTACCTATGTAACTGCATTGTGTGAGGCAGTAGCAATATGGCCGGCACTGATGTAGCACGCGTGTTTATTGCTGCTATTTCCTACAAGGATTTTATCTCATTTCTATCACACTACACGGACATTAGTTAAAATACATAAAAAATGAGTTTCAATAAGTATTATGAAATAATCAATATTGAATAAAAAATTATTCTATTCTATTATATTATACATATATAGATACACTGATTCATTCATTGCAAATGTAACTTTGTAATCCTATATATTTATATGGGATTACAAAGTTATTTATGCAGTTGGTGTATCTCGAAAACTGAAGTGAAATTGCAAAATATTTTAATTTTTCCTTGATTTATATACTAAACAATAATTGTAAGCTTCCAAATTTAAAGCTTCTATATCTACTAGAAGCGCCTTAGAGTTTTGATGATCGGTCAATCTAATTAATAGAATCAGGCGTTACTTTGCGGAAATCAATTATATAAAAGCTTTTACAACAATTTACTTCGCAAATATCCGCGTTATAAAATAAAATGATGTGTCTTACCTAGTATGAAGAAGCACCTCCCGCCCTCCCTCGGTAGTAGAGTAGCGGTGCTGGGATTAGTGGTGACGGGGATAGTGCACGCAATTGAGGGAGGGCGGGAGGTGCTTCTTCATACTAGGTAAGACACATCATTTTATTTTATAACGCGGATATTTGCGAAGTAAATTGTTGTAAAAGCTTTTAGATCGGTCAATCGGTGAGTGACAAAATTAAGAAACTTTGACTAGTTATAATTCTTAAACTACTGATTCAAATTTAATGAAATTTGAAATATGCTGAGTTTATACAATGCCTACTTGGCTACTGAAAATTCAGGCTTCTAGTTTTATCCACAACGAAGTTATAGGGTTTCTAAAATGGCCTGAACTGCTTCGAGAAAAGGATGGTACGGCCGTACCGCTTCTTTGCTCGACTTGGCGGGGGCACTGCCGTGCCCCCAGATATAGATAATATTTACTTTATATACAATAGAGTAATATATAACAGCATAAACAGTTAGCTAATTCGTTATGTAAATATAAGTACTTAACTCACGGTAATTTGTAAAATATAGAACATTGCTGTAACGAAAAAGTAAGTTGGATTGAAAGATAAACTTAACTTTGCAGTAGAAAAAACATTCTCCCATATGGCAATGGGAAGCAGCATAGAAGGCGCGAGACAGGTAGTGATCATCAGGCAGTGAAATTTTATTAATAACAGATATAATACCGTGGACCGCGTAGTGGCGGTGTAAGAATATCCACTGCCCTATATACCTACCCATGGGACGGGTGTGGTAAAAGGCGGCACAGGGAAACAGAAACAGGAGCTGGGCGGCAGCATCTGCCTGATAACCACTCAGACCAATACAAACTGTGGTTGCTAACCTGCCGAGCATGGCAAATTAGGTAAAACCCCTCCTATATGAAGCAGTCTATGAGGGACTTTTATAGGTTTTAATGGATGGAACGAATATTACCATGGACCCTCCTGCAAGCAACTGCTTCAGAACTGCATTTGACTCAATAGCCTGTTGTTGTAATGTTCTGCAACGAATGAGTCTTGCATGACAGGTAAAACAGACAATTATGGGCTCCACATCCTCATCCATCTGAAAATATGAAATTTCGTCATAAATATGGAAAACTACTTAAATATACAAGTTTGTAATAAAATCTATTGGCTACCACAATTCTCTTCATCAAAATCATTTTTTATAACATTTAAGTGACAAATAAACTTACAATCCACGATGGTAAGTGGCTGCTGCAGCCCATAGGCACCTGCAACGAACTTCAAGCAAAGGCTACAGATGCGATGTTACCTCTGAGGACTAAGATGTAATGCTTCGCAGCCTGTTATTATACTGGCTCTCAATGTCCTTCACACCGGGACACATACTGCTGCTGGTGGCAGCAATAGGCAAGAGGATGATAACTACCCAGATAGACTCCTAGGCAGAAAAAAGTCGTGCCACCTAGTGAATCATCATCACTACAACAACACAGTCTTAAGCCACCTACATCCATCGACTTACTGTGTTGCCAGATTGCCACTATCCAGTGGGGGGCCACTCAACAATTTGCTTGCCAGTATGAGGCTTTCAAAATTCAATCTTACTAAACCTACTTTCAAATTTTAACTACTAGCATCACTATTAACATTACAAATACTTCTCTTATTTGCTCCAAGTAAACTAAAAATGCTTGTGCAATACAACAATAGACAGATGGCAGATTTGAACTTAATACTTTCTTCAGTTTGCAGTTTACACCCTTAACTATTAGGCCATTGTCACTTGGTTTCAAATGGAAGTTAATAACAATATACTTACATCCCCTAGAAGTTTTAAACTTTTTAATTTAATATAAATTGCATTATGAAGTAAATTCCAGGTGGGTTTGGTCATCTAACAATTAGATTATTTTATCTCCTAAGAATATATGCAGCAGCATTTTTCTCATAACAGGTCAGACTAATAAAAATACTGCAGCTGACAAACATGATATGAATGATGATGATAGGAACATGAAAAATATGAGAGCAAGGGAATTTCTGTGTTGGTAAGCACATGTGCACTCTAATCTCCCACTTTAATAAATAATGCGACTGACATTGAAGCCATATTTGTTTTGCAAATGAGACCCGTACGGGCAATTTATAACTTAAATTGTAGTGAGTGCCTTAGAGAAAAATTTAAAGAAATAAACATATTAACTTTGGCATCGCTATATATTTATAAATATATGTACATAAAAAGCTTTGATAAGAATAAAAATGTTCATAATTTAAGCACTCCACAGAATTAGTAATTCATTTATGGGGCAATGTATTCGCTTTTACAGCAAATTTCCAGAAAATGTACAAAATTTGTCAATAAACAAGTTTAAATTGATCAAAAAGGGTTATTTTAATGTCAAAGAATACATAAATGAAAATAACCCCTGGGAATAAGCTAATTTCCACTATGCTGGTTCTATTATTACAGAGGTATTTTCTGAGCCAGTGATAAATAAAAAAATGACTTTCAAAGGCATTGTGTAAGAATCTATATTGAGTAAAAATTATGTGGTTGTGGCTTTGTGTTTTTTTTTATAGAATGGGGTGACAAACGAGCACACAGTCCACCTGATGGTAAGTAGATGCTGTGGCCCATAGAAATCTATGTTTTCCTCGATTAAGAATCAAAATGCTGACGCGTACTCACCCCTTAGGACTAAGACGGAATGCATCGTTTCCAGTAAAGGTCTCTAATTCTCTACACTCACCATATGAACACAGCAGCATTAACACATTCATCACCACTACGATTTTCATGATGTCTTCTCGGATGCCGTCTACATTTTACGGTTGACTCGCCAGGCGAGTCGCCGGCACTGCAATATAAATTGAATCGACTCGCCACGCGAGTTCACTGGCACTAAGTAAGGGTAAATTCTATGTTTTGTAATTTTTGTGGCCGTCACAGTGTACTTAACGTGTTTAACGCAATTAAAAAGTGTTTCAGGACTATTCGGCTTGCAAAATGGCAAAAAACTCTTTGGATAAAATAAAAGGTAAGTTTGTTTCGTAATTTAAGCAGTGGTTGTCAATCTTTTAAATTGTGGTTATTGTTAAGGTTATATTTTGAATTTCTAATACTTGTGAATAGACAATTTTACCATGAAATAATTTAATATATATCCTTCCTCTCGGACTCTCGAAGAGACCAGACGTGTGTGGTTTAGTTAGTTAAATACAGTTAACTTATGTTAAATTCCGACACAATCAAATAAATAATTAGGAGTGCATAAAAGTGAAGAAGTGTTCACTAACTCTCAACACTAGTCTTCGATACAGACTAAATTCCCATGCAGCTGTGTGAGTAAAAGCCTTATTATTGAAGTGTTATAATTTTTTTTGCAAATTAATAAATAGTTCAAACGAGAAAGAAACGCTTAATCATTGCGTCATTGAATAAAACAGGGATAACATAAATGAATATTGTATGCACAGGACGAGAGATCAAGTGATATAAGACGGAAAGACCTTTTGTATAAGAATCATCGATCAACGACCAGTTGCTTGACCTCTAAGCAAATAGTAACGAAACATTGGAGCTTGCAATAAATACATAATACCTGATTGTTTATATTGCTCTGGTACATTGTTTTAACGTCGCTTTATGATTTCTCGCTCGCCACCGCAGTCTACTTCGCAGCCGCAGAATATTGTTGCTACTAGCGCGACCGACACCTACGTCTCGACGGCGGCCATCAACTTTACATCGCAAACACTGTCATTCAGACCCAAATATTTATTCCGATTCCGATGGCCAGCCCAACTGCTTACCGTACCAAAAGGAAGCGCGAGGATGAATTCGATACATTCTTTATCTACTTTTGATTGGAAATAAACGATTATTATTATAATACGGGCTTTCAGTTTTAAGAATATGGTATGTATTATTTTTATTGTGAATATTAGTTCCATATCACAAGTATGTAGGTAGTCCATGCTACTATGTTGACGTCGTTATCTAACATGTAAATGGTTGAGGATCTATGTCAGGGAACTCGCCTAGCGAGTTCAAGGCATTGCAGAATAGTTTGTTTCCTTTCAAATTTAAACAGAGTCTCCACACCCGGCCCACCACGTAAATCTTTAGTTTAGCATATATTTAGTCTAAACTATAATTTTAAGCAGAAAATACGGATGCATTTTGGAAATATTAGTGAAAAACACTGAACTCGCCAGACGAGTCGTCGGCACTCAGGGGCGGATCTACTTAAAGGCTTCTTGGGCTGCAGCCCAGGGCCCCGCGAATACAGAGGGCCCCCAACCTAACTAAAACCAATAGACGATATTGTCAATAATAAAAATTATCTAGAACTTAAAAAAATTCGATCATAAGGTTGGCAACACTACGATCAATCAACCCGTGTGCACATCTTTCAAACGGAACAGGGAATTCCCTGTCGCTTGTTTTCGTTCGGTGTATTCCGTGTATTGTCTATTACTGGGGACTTCCCCCCTCTTATCGCCCGACGCAATTTTATTATTTTTCCGCACTTCTGGAGCGTTCTTTCTCCAGGATGTCGTATATATAAAACAAATACAGGACAACAATGTCGAACTATCGACTAAATCATTTATCAGTTCTTTCGATAAATTGCGATTTAACAAAGGACCTACAGTGTGATGACCAAATAAAAGAATTTGCAGCACAAAAATGCAGAAAGGTTGCTTTATAATTTGTATAACATAACCATCTATAACCTGTCAATTTATTTTTCAATAAATAATGTTTTAATAAATATAATATAAAATATTTTGGTTTCCTATTTTCTTCCTGTACTTAATATATATTACATTACATATACCTACATCACTACAGAAAACAGTTTCTTGTCAAAATGGCAATTAGTTGAGTAATTAGGTAGGGCCCCTAAGCAGTATTAGCCCAGGGCCCCAGAAATTCAAGATCCGCCCCTGTCGGCACTGGAATAAGATTTACGTGAACTCTCCGGGCGAGTCGGTGGTATTGAATGTGTTAAGCTGTTGTTATAGACTGGTATTCTGTGAGAGCATTGTCCTATCCCAGTAGAACTGACCCATTTGTGTTACAACCATAACCATAATATAGTTGCAGTGTGGCTCTACCACATGAAAGACCAAACCAGGGTGGATTTGGGTATCTTGACAGAAAATCGCAATAAAACTCAGTGATATGTACCAGAACATACACCGGGGGAAATCTATTACATATAATATATTATAATTCAATTTGCAATATTTGGAAATGATAACAAACTTACAAAACTGATCGTCAATGTTTTGTACAAATTTCGGAGACTAGTCTCCTTTAGTACAAACATGCGTACATTAACGCATAAGCAAATTCTACAAACTTCACTAAAGGCCATTCCTGTTTCCATTAGCTTATAAAGCTTGAAGCCTTGAATTCACTTATTCAGCAATAAACCCGAGTTTTCAAAAATATTACAATGCAGATCACAGAGTACTTTTTCCCTATATATAATGTACTCTGTGCTTTTTATCCTTTTTATATACTGAAAAGCAAAGAGAATATAACCACTACGTTTAAGAGGCGGGACTTCCTAAAAGGCGTGTGTATTTTTTTTTTTGGAGTTTATGGCCTGGTATCTAGACCTTTAGGCCAAGTCTTAAGTATTTTTATTCGGTTTATTGTAATTTCCCCACTCCTTCATAGTATACTGCTTCACAATATGTTGATGCGTCACATTGTGCAGTTCTTGGGAGATTTTGGCGGCAACTTGATCCAGCAGACAGCTGATAGTTGGCGATGGTATCTAAAGGTGCCTATGCAAACAAACAGCTTATCTTGACAATCCATCACCATCAGAGCACTTGTTTCACTGTTTCCACTAATAGTTCACATGCGTAGACACTTAATACACAAAATCGCAACACTTTTACATATCAAAGTCCACTTCAAACCATTATTTAAACAATAATACAGGAGCAGCAAACCGCCGCCGGTCAATTTCCCGCCAAAACTCCCAGGCGTGTGTATTAGGCGTGGCGTGTGCAAAGAGAATATAACCACTACGTTTAAGAGGCGGGACTTCCATAGTAAAAATAATGGCATGAAATTACGCCAAGTTACTCTACCAACATCAAGATATGACATTTAATTTCGAGAAACAGTGCTGACAACATTAACGAATTACAATAGTGCTGAAATGTCTATCCTCGAATAATTTTATCGATATATTGTTTATCGATATTTTTACATAAGAAAAGTTAGATCTCTATACTGAATTATTTATGAGAAATAAAAAATTTAACGTGTGGATTGAGTAAAAATGCCGATGAGGATAAGAAATCAATGTATTTTACACACAGCAATTTGTATTTATATCTCTACAAGTAGATACAAAAGTATGTATAAAGAAAATATAAAATAAAAACGCACTTTTATACTAGTAATTAATTAAGTAAAAAATAAATGACGACTCCGTAGCGTAGTGGCTAAGCGTTTGGCTGCGGCATTGCAGGACCGAGGCTTCCTTCCCGCACTGAACAATTGTTGCTATGCAGTAAAATAAATAGTCTGCGTCTGGATGCTTGTTTTCAATGTTAGTTTTTTTAAGGGTAAAAATATTGGGTTTTTAATACTGATTGGATTAAATTGCTTTTATGTGTAACAAACTCTATGTACAAATCGCCAGGCTTCTTCACAGAGGCACCTATATTTTTTTATTTTATAGTGTCAGGTAACAAACGAGCACACAGTCCACCTGATGGTAAGTGGTTGTTGTGGCCCATAGACATCTACATTTATCCTCGTTTGCGAATCAAAATGCAGATGCGTTGTCACCCGTGAGGACTAAGATGGAATGCCTCTTTTCCAGTAAAAAGGGTCTCCGGTTCTCTACACTCACCATACGAAACACAGCAGTGGCTGCTATTTTACGCTGGTATTCTGTGAGAGCGTGGTCCTTCCCCGGTCGAGCCGACCCATTCGTGTTACAATTATACTACATAATATAGCTGCAGCATGGCTCTACCACGTATAAAGTATAAAATATACCTATGTACATACTATTCGCAGAACTCGTTTACTAATTGTCGCTTTCAAAATAAGTGCTCATTATAGCTAACGTTTATTGATGAATAAAATAATGATTTAGTTATATAATCTAATTCTTGCCAAAATGTGACTTTAGAGGAATATTATCTTTTGCTACATGTAAATGAAACCTAATTAACATACACATAAATTGTGGAAGTTTAAAGTAAGTCCACTAAAGAAATAACAGTTCGTTTTATTTGGGTTCATATGCACATATTCATATTGTCACAAATATGTCTTAACATGTAAATCATTTCAATTGGTGCATGTGCCAGCTATTTCACCCATTGCTTGCATCTGAAAAAACAATATAAATAAAATCACATTATTATTGAACAAATAGAATGTTAGCAGTCAGAATTGACTTGTAGTTTCTAAGTATAGTTCGTTTCGGATTGCCAAACCATCGAACTATCAGATTTAGGAAATAGTGTGTTAGTATTTGTGCACACAATCGTGCACTATAAAGACATGTCCTACATAGATGGCTAGTCCAAAAATATACTCGCGTTGAATATCATATTACTATTAAATTTGCAATCACCACATACCTTTCATCATCAAAGGGAAATATTGTTACGAATAGCCTTTTCTTGTTATCAGTTTTTCCGCTTCTTGCACCATTTAATTGAAAGTTTTATAATGCATATTTAATTTCTTAACAATTCTGTAAATGAACAACGGCTCCTATAGCAAAATTAAAAGCAATCTTAATTAATAAATATATACAAATATAATTGTTTGATTTGACATTTGAACCTATTTCATTTGATAATGTCGTTAATAGACATATCACGAAAAGCAAGAAGAATAACCGTCATTAAAATTTGACCCCTGTAGTACATATAATTTTTACTATGGAAGTTGCACCAGCCTGGGCGTGTGTATCTCTTTACGGAAACGACTCACTGATCCGAATCACTGAAGTGTCACAAAAGATTGGTTCAGTAACAACGTTTCAAATGTATCATTTGGGTCTGGAACAGTTAAACATTACTTTGCTCTTTGCTCATTTCGCGCGACGCGTCGCTTGCGAGGCGACTGAGCCATGAGCGAGAGAGACATTCATTGCTATGCGGATGACAGCACTGGTGTTGCTCTATACACCGGCCGGGCCAATATTTCTCGGGAAAACGTCGCCGAGTACCGGAACAAACTTGTGTCTGAAGTCGAGTCTTTGCTGGACAAAGTCTCGGATTGGGGGCGACTAAATCTAGTCCAGTTTAATCCTCAGAAGACACAAGTTTGCGCGTTTACCGCTAAAAAGAACCCCTGTGTCGTATCTCCTCAGTTTCAAGGCACTCCCCTTCTTGCCTCAGCCAATATCGGTATCCTCAGAGTCGACATATCGAGTGACGTGCAGTTTCGTGATCACTTGGAAGAGAAGGCCAAATTGGCCTCTAAAAAGCTTGGCGTGCTCAGCAGAGCGGGACAGTATTTCATGCCGGCACACCGCCTGCAACTTTACAAGGCGCAGGTTCAGCCTCACATGGAATACTGTTCCCATCTCTGGGCAGGGGCTCCCCAGTGCCAGCTCCTTCCACTTGACCGCATCCAGCGCAGTGCGGCTCGAATCATTGACGACCGAGTCCTTTCCGATCGGCTCGATTCATTGGCACTGCGAAGAGATGTTGCATCTCTTTGCATTTTCTTTCGCATCTACCATGGGGAGTGCTCTGAGGAATTGTTCGGATTAATCCCAGCCACCAAATTTCATGAACGCACATCGCGGCAGAACTCCCGATACCATCCACACCATCTGGATGATTGGCGGTCCACCACTGTGCGATTTAGAAGATGTTTTCTTCCTCGCACGACTTCCTTGTGGAATCGATTACCATCAGCGATTTTTCCTGACCGTTACGACTTAGGGACCTTCAAGAAAAGAGCCTACTCCTTTTTAAAAGGCCGGCAACGCATCTGCAATTCCCCTGGTGTTGCGGTTGTTCATGGGCGGCGGTAGTCACTTACCATCAGATGAGCCGCATGCTCGTTTGCCCCCTCTCCTATAAAAAAAAAAGACAGACCGAGACAATGATTAACTTAACTATTGACTCACGAGTGGCGAGTGAGCGGGCGAAATAATTATAATCCACACAAGTCAGATAGAGATAACAAATAAGAAGTGTATCACTCAACTCGTACGGATTTTCGCTGACGTTATTCATGCACGTAAAAATTACCACTAAGGCGCTTATGTGTCAAATACTATACGGTCGTTTTTTGTATGTAATGTTTGCATTACAAAGTTGTCATTTTACGTTGATGCGGCACTTGTCAAACTGTTTATATTCATTAGCGCCTGTTTACGAAAACATACTATTTACTAAGTTATGTTTAGGATTTCTTTGCGTAGTGATTATTGTGATTTTACTTTCTTCCTTTTCATCATAAAGTTTAGAGTTATGATACTTTGCGAGTAAATTCTGTGTACATAGACATTGCTGTTTTGTGTAAATGGAGATTTTTGTAAATAATAAATTGACATAGTGACATTTTTGTTAAAGTATGAAGGAGTATCGATTTTATATACAATCTTATTACGGTACACAATAAATAATCTAAGCACTTATATTATTCAGCATTGTTGCCACATAACATTTCACGGATCAGTCAGTAATAAACGCCCGCGACGCAACTTAATGTATTCGGAACATTCTTTCTTTTATATCTTTTGAGTCGATGGTCCAAATGAGCCAAATGAAACATATCAGTGTTTCGGAACATTTCAGTGATCAAGATGCAAATGTTCCAATCACAAAAATGATACACTTTGCCCACCTCCAGTGTGTATCTCTTTACGGAAACGACTCACTGATAAGAATCACTGAAGTGACACAAAAGATTGGTTCAGTAACAACGTTTCAAATGTATCATTTGTATCTGGAACAGTGAAACATTACTTTGCTCTTTGCTCATTTCGCGCGACGCGTCGCTTGCGAGGCGACTGAGACATGAGCGAGAGAGACAGACTGAGACAATGATTAACTTAACTATTGACTCACGAGTGGCGAGTGAGCGGGCGAAATAATTATAATCCACACAAGTCAGATAGAGATAACAAATAAGAAGTGTATCACTCAACTCGTACGGATTTTCGCTGACGTTATTCATGCACGTATACATTACCACTAAGGCGCTTATGTGTCAAATACTATACGGTCGTTTTTGTATGTAATGTTTGCATTACAAAGTTGTCATTTTACGTTGATGCGGCACTTATCAAATTGTTTATATTCATTAGTGCCTGTTTACGAAAACGTACTGAGTTATGTTTAGGATTTCTTTGCGTAGTGATTATTGTGACTCTATTTTCTTCCTTTTCATCATAAAGTTTAGAGTTATGATACTTTACGAGTAAATTCTGTGTACATAGACATTGCTGTTTTGTGTAAATG